TGATTTGCTGCTCAAGAAACATTTCTGATTATTATCAATGATGAAACTGTGATACATTTTTATTTTCAAGATACTTTGATGAACACATTTCAAAAGAACAGCATTTATTTGAAGTAGGAATCTTTTGTAACATTATAAATGCATTCAGTGTCACAATTTAATGCCTTCTTGTTGAATAAAAGTGTTTATTTCTAAATCTCAAAGACCCCAAAGGTGTGTTGTGGTCAGATCTGGGTGATTCAGTGGTCTAGTCATGCATGCAATAACACAAATGTTCTGATATCACATATCCAAGTTACTGAGCTCTAGTTTCAAAACAAATTGATGCAATAGATCTCAGATGCATGCAATGCGTGTAAGGCTCAAAACACTGACTGGTGGTCGGGTGGAGCATTTTAACCCTAAATGAACCTAATAACTAACACAAAGAGTGATGCTTAATTGCCATAAAGATGGACAAATCTTGCATTGTGGTTTAAAATTCACTGGCATGCTGCCTTTTAGCAACAATGATCTCCTAGTGGAAATGACACTGAAGAGCTGCACACATTCATCAGCTCATCTTATCTAGAAATCATTTGGTGAACGTACAGGAAATGGTTAAATCTTTGAAAACAGATCATCAGCATGTTTGCACAAAACAACAAATGCTAGAGACAGACATGAAAAGCCTTAAGAATGTCTGAACATGCAAGATACTGCTCAACCTTCTGCTTTATCTTCACCATAGGTACGTCATTTTCATCATTTATAGAAGCAGGGATACTACATGTAGTTTCATTGGTATTTAAAAATGTGACATCAAATATAAAATTATTACTAAAATTGTTTTATTAAAGACAGAATGACAATGAAAGATGCTTGATGAAGTCTGTTGGTTGCAAGAGTGTGTTAGAATTAATTAATTACTTACTTTTCATGGATAAACTACTAGGTCAACACATATTCTAGTAGCATCAAGTCAAGTCACCTTTATTTGAATAGCACTTGATTATACAATACAGATACAGATCATCCAGTTCAGCTCTCTTCCAGTAGTGTCTGTGCAATCAGTCAAGCGTCCCCACTAAGCAAGCCAAATGGCGACTGCGGCAAGGAACCAAAACTCCATCGGTGACAGAAATGGAGAAAAAACCTTGGGAGAAACGAAGTCGGGGGACTAGTTCTCCTCTGGTCAAACAAAACCAGCATGGTGTGGTTTAATTCCATGCTGCAACACAGGTCAGATTGAGCAGAGGACTCGTCTGGTTCTCGTGGTCTTGTGCCGATGGTTGTCAAGGTGATGAGGTCTTCACAAGGGATCTGTCTCTAGTTGACATGGTCTCTGCTGACATTCAGGGCTGTAGAGGTCGTCTTTAGGTGCGGATCCACATCTGGTCTAGATTCATATGGCTACGGTGACCTCAGAATAAGAATGAAACTGACTAATATTAGCGTAGATGCCATTCTTCGTACGGTGTAGCAAGTACATTAGGTGTTACGGGAAGTGTTCCCGGTTCCGGTAGACCTAATTAATGCAGCCTAACAATCCTTTAACGGATTTGAGTTGCGATAGTGTGTTATGTGTATGCCTTGTTAAAGAGATGCATCTTTAATCTAGATTTAAACTAGATCTAATCAAGTGTGTGACTTTAACATGTTACATGTTACAGATTAATGTGTGGACAGACAAATCTGATAAAGTGTTGGTATATATATATATATATATATAGTGTAAATATATATAGTATTGTTTTTTGTTTGCATTTTTTAGGAGTTCTCAGGTGTCGGTGCTGTAATGTGTTGAGAGTAGGAAGTGAACCGCAGATCAAATCTCACTTCCTCTCGCTCAGATCTCGACTGTAAGCGAGGAAGCTGATCAGAAACTTCATTTAACTCATTAATGACATGCTATGAAGCTAAAAGCAGGCCTGTGTGGCAAAAGAAACTAAAGTGTAGCAGGAAATGTTGCATAAACTATGATAATCTTTTTAGCAGATAAAACAAAAAATATATTCGACTTGAGCACAGGTTTTTTTATGTGCATTTTTAGAATGCGTATTGGCGTTTCCATCCAGTTTTTTTTTATTCGATATCACAAAATGTGCATAAAAATATCGGTGGATGGAAAGATTGTTAGTTCAACTCAGGTCAATTAAATGATATTAACAAATACAACTTTTGATTTTAATGAAGTCTAAGTAAATGCTGAAATTAACTAACTAAGATTAATAAAAGCTTTAGAAGTATTTTTTATTGTTAATGTAAAAAAACGATGTAAAAAAAAAAGGAACCTTATTTAAGTATCACCAAAATCAAAGATGTTTCGAGAAAAAGTCAGATTGAACCTCTAATGTGAATAAAACAAACTTAATACTACATTTTAAAAGATTTCATGTGCTTAATATTACTTCAAGGCAACATTATATAGACCCCCATTATATAGTAATCTGATGAATTTTGAATAAGGATACTTGACTCATATTTTACAGATTGTTTGTTGGTGACGCATGTAAAGGCACAAGACTCTTCCAGTGATGAACCAGGTACAAACACACAGTCCAAACCATACAAAACCCATTCAGATCTAAACACTGATGTTTCTTTCCTGACCCTCAGAAACCAAATATGCCATCATAGGAGCAGGAATTGGCCTTTTCTTTTCCATCTGCTTTCTGCTAATCAAAATGTACATCATCAAAAAGCAGGTGCATGACAATGAACTATCAGGTAAGTGTTTTCCTATAAATCTGATTTAAAAAAATAATAATAATAATAGCTTTAATCAAATCTTCATTATTTTTAACACTTGGATATTTTTAAAGACACACCACTAAGAAGAGCATCTGCACGGTAAGAACATTTTTATATGCAAATCACACTTTCCCATATCACTACACTCTAAAAAAGGCTGGGTTAAATACAACCCAGTGCTGGGTAAAATAGGGACAAACCCAGCAATTGGGCTGTTTTGACCCAGCGGTTGGTTTAAATGTTTAACCCAACCTTCTGGGTAGTAACCCAACCGCTGGGTCAAAACAGCCCAATTGCTGGGTTTGTCCCTATTTTACCCAGCACTGGGTTGTATTTAACCCAGCATTTTTTAGAGTGTATAATCATTACATAGTTGCAAAACTTTGATTTGAAAGTGAATCTCATGAAATGATGACCTCTGTTTTTAAGGACCATTGATGTGGAGAGCAGAAGGGAATGAAATGTCTTCAGAGGATGAATTAATACAGTCCTTTGTAATTCTATGGCAATTTGATAGTTTTATTTATTAAATGGTGGCCAGTTTAGGCCTATAAAACAAATGATTGTAAATTCAGCAGAACAGTACCATTGCTGTGCCTTCATGAGGTTATTTTGTGCTTTTTGAGCCATACCCACTTTTATGTGAATAATATATATATATACTGTACTCTGAGCTATATATTCATTAATTGTAACATAGAAATATACTGCTTGTATCAAGAGCATAAAAGATTTAAACCAGCTTGTCTTTTCATTTAGAATCCATTTGTTGTCTTTGATCATGTTCTTCTTCCTTTATTCATCTGTGGTGTGACAATTAAATCTACATTTCTATGTCATCAAACATGACTGTATATTTCTTAAATCAGCAAAACTGACTGTAAAATTGTTAAGTCTACAAAAAGTGAACAGCTCTGAGTACAGAATCTGATTTAGAGTCATTACTCTTTATTAAAATGCTTCTCTCTCTCTCTCTCTCTCTCTCTCTCTCTCTCTCTCTCTCTCATGCTCAATCTACAGTATCAGAAACACATAAATGTAATTTTTCACCCTAAATGTTATTTAGAGCTATCTGAGTTTTGCATTTGCTTTATCTTTACTCTAAATGTATAATACATATATCTATATCATGCAATGTCACACTTTATCCAGATGAGGGCAGTCAGTCCTTTCCTGCTGTTCCACATCTGTTTCCACTATCAGTTTAAAAAACAGTCGGCTGTCAGTCTCAAAAACCAGAATATTGTAAACAAATACATTTACTTCTGCTTGGCCATGAGGCCAGATCAACTACAACCCACTGAGTGAACCTGTTAACATACCAGGAACAGACCAAATAAACAATGCCAATACATATCTGAGAATTTCTGAGTAAACTACAACATTTCTACAACTACAACACATCTTGATGATTATATATATATATATAATTTTGAAACTTCTTGCTGTGTCTGTGTGTTCTCCAAATCAGTCAAGAAATGTACCTTTCCATTGTATTTAACTGCATATAAGCACACAAGATGCTGTGAAGTGTTTCGCAATAAACCTCGTTTATAACTGATAGTCTTCAACTGGACTGGACAAAAAATACATTTCAGCCTTCTGACGTATAGTGTGTAGTCCTATACAAAGGGGGAGGAGAGAGGGTGTAGACTAAGTAAAAACAGAGCTGAGTGTCCCGTCTCGGGTTACACAGAGAAGGAGAGAAAAAAAAGCAGAGGAATTCAGTTTTTGTGAAGGGATTGAGCTGGAGTTGCATGGAGCCCATCAGACTGGAGAATGAGGATCTCTGTAGCGCTAACAGCTATCCTGACTAACCTCTTCTTAGGAAGTAAGTGCAATCTGTCTGAATTTCATTTCAACTGTGATGTTATTCAGTGTAGCTGGAAAATCTCAGTCTAGATGTTGCACGTCAGTGACTTTTTTAATGCATGTGTTTCTTTTTTATTTTCATATGTTGATTTGTTTTTGTGATTTTGAGTTACTGTCTAAATCAGTCAAGCTGATATATGTACAGTGCTTCAATACAAATAATATTTCCGTTTCAATTTGTTTGTCTTTTTCCTGGTAATTTCCTTTTTCTCTCTGGCTACTAGTAAGTTGTGGTTTCTGACTCCTCCTTCACTAGCATATAAGGAATATCCTCAATTTATGTAACTTAAATCCTATTTCTGTCTGTATTTATATACATGTGGTCACTTTGAGTTTACAAATAGCAAGCAGAGGAATTCAGTTTTTGTGAAGGGATTGAGCTGGAGTTGCATGGAGCCCATCAGACTGGAGAATGAGGATCTCTGTAGCGCTAACAGCTATCCTGACTAACCTCTTCTTAGGAAGTAAGTGCAATCTGTCTGAATTTCATTTCAACTGTGATGTTATTCAGTGTAGCTGGAAAATCTCAGTCTAGATGTTGCACGTCAGTGACTTTTTTAATGCATGTGTTTCTTTTTTATTTTCATATGTTGATTTGTTTTTGTGATTTTGAGTTACTGTCTAAATCAGTCAAGCTGATATATGTACAGTGCTTCAATACAAATAATATTTCCGTTTCAATTTGTTTGTCTTTTTCCTGGTAATTTCCTTTATCTCTCTGGCTACTAGTAAGTTGTGGTTTCTGACTCCTCCTTCACTAGCATATAAGGAATATCCTCAATTTATGTAACTTAAATCCTATTTCTGTCTGTATTTATATACATGTGGTCACTTTGAGTTTACAAATAGCACATCATCCTCACAGAAAGAAATGACACACCAGGTTGTTTTGTTCCTTTAAAAATGCTTACAGCTCATTGAAAATTGTAATTGTGACAGATTTTGTGGAATTAGATTTTACATCTGTTTTTTTTATATATATTCATTTTTATATCTACTTTACATTCAGGCTATATTTCTACATATTTAACTGAACATCCATTCAGATTCATAACTATATGTTTGATTTCATAAATATACTTTCAGATTTATACACACATATTGTATAATTTGATAAAAAATAAATACAGTAGAAACAGCAATATTGTGAAATATTATTAAGGTTTAAAATAACTGCTTTATATTGTAATACACTATAAAATTTAATTGATTTCTGTGATCAAAGCTGTATTTTCAGCATCATTACTCCAGTCTTGTGTCACATGATCTTCAGAAATCATTCGAATATGCTGATTTGCTGCTCAAGATGTCTATATAATAGATGTATTATAATTGATATATATACCATTTTAATGTAATGCAGAGCCAGACAATTTATGGGGACTTCTGTTTGAGATCCACCCAAGTAATGTTCTCCAGATGGCCTGTCAAAAACTCTCATTAAGGAGCAGCAAGAGGGTCTGGAAACTCTCACATTTAATTTCCCAGCAAGCATTGCTTTACAGTTCTCTTTAAAGTCTGCAAACAAATTGCTGGCTTACACCGCTGAGACACTGAATAAAAAATTACTTGTGTTTAATAATTATTTTATCCAGTTAGAATTCCTTTTTCTTGAATATTGTAGCTATTTAGGAACAGTTCACCCAAAAATGAAAATTTCCTGAAAATGTACTCATCCTCAGGCCATCCAAGATGTAGATGAGTTTGTTTCTTCATCAGATTTGGAGAAATGTAGCATTGCATCACTTGCTCAGCAATGGATGCTCTGCAGTGAATGGGTGCCGTCAGAATGAGAGTTCAAACAGCTGATAAAAACATCACAATAATCCACTCCAGTACATCAATTTCTCCAAATCTGTTCCCATGAATAAATAAACTCATGAATACATTTTCAGCTAATTTTCATTTTGGGGGGGATACTATTCCTTTAAATGGTGCATTGCTCTGTGAATAAAAGATTTATTTGCTTTATATATTCCGACTACAGATGTGTGCTCAGCTATAAATGTCACTGTCACACCGTCTCCGTTCAGTGTGGTGGCTGAGGGGGAAAACATCACCCTGTCCTGTCAGGTGAGCCAGCGGCGGCGGTCGACGAGTCTTCCTGTGGTGCGGTGGATGTTTCAGCCGGAGTCAGGAGGAGAGGAGCTGCTGGTAGCACGGGTGAACATGCGGAGAGCCAAATTCTACGGAAACTACACCAAGAGCTTCTGCAAGCCCAAAATTAAACTGACAGTGGTGAAACAGGGCAAGATATACAACCTCCTCATCATGAACATCAGCACACAGGACAGGGGTCTTTACAGCTGCAGGGTCCAGGAGTTCAAGAAGCATCATGAACGATGGAAAGCTTCGACCAACAGCTCGGCCTCCACGCAGCTCAGAGGTTTGTCCATATGTTGTTGTGAGAAGGGTTGGAAATCAATGGGTCATTGCAGCAAAAATGCCACCAAAAATGCCCCTCAAATTTAAGACAAAGCATACCTATAGATACAATTCACTACAGTTTTCAGCTGAAATGAACACTGGTGGCAATAAAACACCAATAACTTTTGTTCATTTTCACACAAATTATGATTATTAAAAACGTATATTTGTGTGGTTCCTCACACAATAATATGTTATGTCCTCAAAATGCTTTTACCACAGTGCATGATTTGTAAACTAATACATTTTGACGTTTGCATCACATAAGCAGCTCCATGGGCTTTTCTGACATAGCAAACTTGCTTGGTAGCGCACCCGGTACAGCACTGCACTTGTGATATGAAGCACTCTGGTATGATTCCCAGGAAACACAAGCAATGATAAAAGAGCTCAAAGACTCGTAGAAGCAACATAAAATTGCATGGTTGCTTCAGTTTTTATCTCACATTTGCTTTTGTTAACATTATTGTTTAAGTTTAGGAACGGGTATAGTGTAACGTTATTTTCAAATGCTATAAAACATTTACCTTTTTGTGTTACATTGCCAAATTCACATTCATTGCCACGGGCACATTTGTCCAATGAGCCTGGGCTGAGAAAATCATAGTGCATGGCTGTGAAGTAAACTAAAAGCAACTGATAAGGGAACAGTCCTATAATATGTGCCGCTCAAACTTCCTATTTCAATAATACGTCAATCAAGGACCACGGTGCTTCTCAAACAATTTCATGGGGTCTTCAGTTTTGGAGGTGTAAAAAAAAAGCTCTAAATTTATATTTTTCAAAAGGTATTAAAATGTTTTAATATAAAAAAAATAACCTCCACGCAGCTCCAAGGTTTGTCCGTATGCTGTTGTGTACAGGGTTGGAAATTAACCCCCTGTTTTTGGCCAAAAATGCCGCCAAAATAAACAAAAATGCCCCTCAAATTCAAGATTCAGTGACAAAAATAATCATGATTGCGGCATTATATTTAGATCTGATCATATCGCATCATATTTCTTTTAAATAAGCGTTGTGCATTATAACCAATCACAGGAGTTTTGTTCAGTGCGTGAATTCTGCTCTCTCAGGATTTGTTTTCCATCATAAACAACAAAGTGCAGATGTACGGATGAAGAAAGAGATTCATTTCACAGTGTATGCAGCTTCAGTGATTATAATGTGATCTAATGTGATTTGAGAGTGCTTAAACTCAGGCTAGACTATATTCAGTGATAATGTGATCATGTAAATTCTTTGCTCCGTTGCTTTTTGCCGTTTTCAGAGTTAAAAGATTTTTGACGTGTCTAGAGACACCTTCATTAAAAAAATTATATATATATATATATATATATA